TAATCTAATTAATATATACACGAACCATATCCATAAAGTTTGTGGTTAGGATGAATATCTCCCTCTTTATATATATACATAAACCAAAAAATAAAAAATAAAAAAATAAATTCTAATTAATATAGTTTGTGGTTAGGATGAATATCTCCTTCTTTATATTCGAGTCAGTTAAGGATAGTTATTTCTACAACTGACTTAAAAAATAAAGTATAACGAACAACTCGATCTTTTAAAATTTGAATGGAGCATATTTTCATTACCAAACGGCGCCTTTCACGGTCGTTTAGTAGTAATTTGAATTTTGCCAACAATTTTTGACACGCAAAAATCCCAAAAAAACATACAATTTGTCCAATTCTTGAATTGTCTTGTTTTTGGGGAGGTGAGATCAGAATCAGAACTCAATTCCTAACATATTTGAACTCGTATGCTGACTCAGCACTTAGAATATATTATTTTGTGCCTATCAACTATAACGCCAACGGGCTTGAAACAGTAGTTATTTTTCCTCCGCCGGGTCTGTCCCTTCTTTCTATCTTTAATACAAGTTTTATATGATAAAAGTTGGTGAGTCGCATGAAATGTATTGTTAAAGGTGAATAAAAGTTAAGAGTAGAATAAAATATGTGAATAAAAATGAATTTTCATCAACTTTTTAGCAAAGAAAGATGATAAAAATTGGTGGATCACGTAAAATGTGTGCGTAAAAATAAAGTTTGATCAATTAAACAAGCTTTTCAGGGGGAAAAAAAAAGTAGCTTAAGCAAATAAGCAATTTATGTCTATAAATTAGAAAAACATCCTTATTATAAGTTATAGCAATCCTGTTATAAATCACATTCATCAATCCTAATTTCGTAGGTACAGACACAGGGTGCATGTAATAATTAAGACAGACAGATCCACATTAGGAGGAGGATTTGAACTACTTTATCCTTCTCTTAATTAATTCTGGTTCAGTCCCATTCTCTCTCTCTCTCTCTGTGGTGGCATCATCGGCAAAATTTTTATGCATCGATTATCTCTCGAGAGTCGAAACCCTATTTTGATTCAGGTTCGTTTTTTTCTCAGCCACCATTTTCTTCTTCATCTCTCTTTCTGTGATTGATTATACTCTTGTTTTCCGCACGTCACCAAAATCTTGCATAAACAATAAATATACATTCTTTTCAGTGATCGATGATTCTCTTTCTCGTCTGGTCTCGTCCTGTGCGATTGCAAGGATTTTTTTTTTTTGGAATATTTGTTCATTAAAAATTATTTGCTTATTCCTCTTCCTTTCCTGGGTGTTATTTCCATGACATACGTGCATGGTTGGATATGCATGACTCCCAACTTTAGCTTTCTCTAATTTTTATGATTAATGTTATCTAACACCAGTGGTACTAAAGTACTAGGCGTCTACAGTGCAACTAAATGGGTGTTTTGACTTTACATTTAAATGAACATATCATTTAATGATATTTAATTGCCACCTAAACTGGTGTTAAGCATTAATAGTGCTAAATAACACTACTTAAATTATTATTATTATTATTATTATTATTATTTTACAGTTGTCTTTTTCTTATTTAATGATTATATTTTTAATTAATGAAGGTGTTTGTATTATATAATTGTTTGTTATTTAAAATTTGGGAATTTTTTGGGTTGAAATGTGAATAAAATAATGCTGAAATTAGAAGATAACGTTGGATGAAATTGGAAGGCAATGTTAGGTGATTTCTGCTTAACTATGCATAAACACAGACTAAATGGCCATGTATAAACATGACATTGTCTGCAGAAAACAGAAGCAATTTTGCTACTATCACGTGTAATCATGGTTCAAAACTTTAGTCGTTTATTTGAATTTTTATTTGAATTTTTGGTGCATTTTGGTGAACTTTTTAAGAGCGTTTGGAGCCTTTTCATGGTATAAAGTTAGAAATCTATAAATAAGTAATAGATTTCCAATTCCAAATGTAAGAAAACAATCTTAGAAATCATCATTCATTCTACACTTGAATTTTCCCTATTCTATATACATATTCAAAGCTTCTTCAAAATTTTCAACAAGTTCAACTAGAGAAATAATCATTTTGCTTTTGTCCTTTTTCTTGAAGGCTTGTCAACTAAATCCGATGTTGCATTTGCTGTAAGTAAGAACATTTTCAAGAGACTCTCTATTTTTAAAGAGCATATCCTATAATTTTGAGAGTATCTATAAATTTAAAGAGTTAAAATTTTGAAGTATTCTAACAAACTTTTTATATTTAATACTTAATTTTACTACTCTAAAAAAATATTTGTTATTTTTCTTTATCTTTTATTTTAACTAACTTTTCTTTATTTTCCTACATTTAAAATTGAATTACTTTAAATGCATTTAATTATAGAAAGTGGGTTTAAATTAAAATGTTAATTTAAAGAGTCACTTGAAGTATGATTTTAACGGTTGACTCTTTAAAATAAAGAACATCTCATATTTAAAAAATCTCTTGGAGATGTTCTAAACTAAGTAGGTTTACTAACAATACAAGTTCGAAACATTGGAATGCTATATGAAGGGTTCTTGGTTATTTAAAAAAAATTAAATCTTTCGACTACAATATACAAAGTTCTCGAATATTCTTGAAGGATATACCGACGTTAATTGGATATCGAGTGCGAGAGAAAACAAGTCTATTTCAGGTTGAGTGTTTACTTTTGGAGGAGGTGTAGTTTATCGGAAGTCTAAGAAACAAACATACATTACACACTCAATAATGGAGCTCGAGTTTGTAGCATTGGCATGAAAATAGGCTGAATGACTAAGAGATCTTCTTTATAAAATTCCTTTGGGTGCAAAGGATATTTTTTCGATACTTATCTTGTGTGATAGTCAAGCCACCTTAGCACGAGCATATAGTGAAATATATAATGGAAAGTCTAGATATATAAACCTAAGACATGAATTTGAAAGAAAATTAATCAAGCATGAAGTAATTTCTCTCACATATGTTAAGTCTAATGAGAATTTAGCTGATCCGTTAACTAAACTTTTTACAAGAGAGTTAGTAAGATCAACAACGAGAAGGATGTGGTTTAAACCATTTGATTAAAAGTTCACCAATAATGGAAACCCTACCTAATTACACTAAAAAAGTATATCTAGGTTCAAAAGGTAATAATAAGTCATTCTATTTCTCTTTTTTCATTTCAACCACACATTTTATTAATAAAATAATATTACATATAAACCAAAAAATTCTCCTTACTTTTAACCACACAATCTTCCATCAATTATTATTTCAAAAATTATTTTTCAAACAAAATGGGTGTCAAACAGGGGCATTATAAAACCATATCCTTGATAAATAGTACTAATTGTTACGAATATAGAGATGAGTTAATAAAACTCTTAACGAAGTTCAGTACGAAGTACAAGTATCTCTAAAAGTAACAAAGATATTGGAAGAACTTCACCTTTGTAGACTTTGAGGTTGTACTGCCTCAATAGAGAGTTAAAGTTTCTCTTTTAAAAGTTCAACGAATAGGATAAGTGTAAGACCATAATAGCACTAAGCGAGTTTGAAGAACTTGTGAAAACATAACACCCGTGTGTGTGATTTTACTGGTATTGTCACAATGAATGAGTGGTTCAAAGCTATCATGTTGTCTGAAATTTCGATAATACTTTATGAGATTTACACTATGATTAGATTTAAATCGAAAGATATATAATTCTTATGCATTAATGTTACCAGGTATGAATATGTGAAAACTTTGAACAAGTGGGAGATTGTTATATAATTGTTTGTTGTTCAAAGTTTGGGCCTATTTTTGGGTTGAAATGTGAATGAATTAATAATGTAATTGAAAAATGATGTTGGATGAAATTGGAAGGCAATGTTGGGTGATTTCTGCTTAACCATGCGTAAGCACAAGCTAAATGACCATGTGTAAGCACGGCCTTGTCCGTAGAAAATAGAAGCAATTTCGCTTTCACCATGCGTACGTATGAATATAACCATGCTCAAAATTTAGTCATTGTGTTGGTTTTTATTTGAATTTTTAGTGTGTTTTGAGCCGTTTCGTGGTATAAGGTTAGAAATTTATAAATAGGTGATAGATTTCTAATTCCAAATATAAGAAAACAATCTCAGAAATCATCATTCACTCTACACTTGAATTTTCCCTATTCTATATACATATTCAAACCTTCTTCAATTTTTTCAACAAGGTCAACTAGATAAATAATCATTTTGTTTTTGTGCTTCTTCCTTGAAGGTTTGTCAATCTTCTAAACTATT